CCCAAGCTGTACGTAGACGCTCTATGAATATTTCTGTTGTATTTCCAAAGCAAATGCTGAAGAAACCGACGTTTACTATATATAATACGAACAACGAATTTTTTAAGCCAGAGAGAGAGAGAGAGAGAGAGAGAGAGAGAGAGAGAGAGAGAAAGTGATAGCGGTGTGCTACAAAGTAGTGAGCGAAAGAGTAGAAAGAAAATGGAGGATAAGAGAATGTGGGAGGAGAGAGAGCGCAAGCGAAAGAAAACAAGAGCGAGAGAGAGAGAGAAAGAGAGAGAGAGAGAGAAAGCGAGGGCGCGTGCGCGCGCGAGAGAAAGAGAGGTAGAGAGAGAGAGAAAAAGACAGAAAGAGAGAAAGAATGAAAGAGAGAGAGACCGTGCGAAAGTGATAGTGCCCGAATGAGCGCACATGAGAGAGAATGTGAGCGAGACGAGAACTAGGGTGAGACAGAGAACGCACGCCATATCTCACGCTAACATATGACGTCGCTACAGCCTCGCTCTCGCACCTTTTTGCAGCATCTCTAACGTCGGCATGCGCTACTGGTTCGAGTCTCCTATCTCGACGAATCAGCGTCGCGAGGATGATCGCATCACCTACATCAACAAGGGTCAGTTCTACGGCATCACGCTCGAGTACATACCCGACGCTGATCGACCTCTGAAGAACCACACCGTCAAGGTAGGGGCGCAGCAGTCACACGCACGCACGCACGCACGCACGCACGCACGCAGACACACGCACACGCGCACGCATGCACGTTGCAATAAAACATGGCAGTGCTGATTTGCAGTTTTCTTTCCATCATCATTTTGTGGCATTGGTATGGATATGCTACCTGTGCTAGCAAGAGTACACTGATATGTACAGTTATGTAGTGGCCTCGAGCCGAGTCCGAGTACAAGTTCGAGCCATTAGGCCAAGGCAAAAGGCCAGAGAAACCGGCCTCGAGGCCTACAACACCGATATGTATATATACACACGCATATATATATACAGGTAGGTCCCGTTTTACGACAGGGTTAGGATCGTAAAATGAAAAGTCGTAAAACAAGACCAAATTATAATTCAATTAAATGCTATCGTTTCACCCACAATGCACCACGAAAAATAGAAGAAGCGCATATTGCGTGTTTGTACTCACAGGCGTTGCTGCGATGTGTTATTGAATTGCGATGTGAATAAAATGATTGCATGTTGTAAAATCGACCATCGTAAAATATGTCGCAAAGCAGGTTATGTATATATATATATATATATATATATATATATA